CTGCATGCATAATAAGGGATCGCTGTAGAATCTATGAGTAGATGCAATCAGCTGATTTTTCTTAGATAGGAAACTTATAACTAATCTGATTGTATTGTCTCTGTAAAGTGACAAAGAGTAAGAAAGAGGCATATAAATAAACTGAAGTAAACTGAATTGAATAATATTGGTGTAAGCAACTGAAAAATGTAGTTTCCATGTTAAGGCCTCATAAATAGGTGTAGATAAAAAATGATCTAAAAGGAGGAACCCGGTCTTAGAATAATTATTACCTGGTGCAATATCCTGCTGATAGTAACCTTTAGGAGTTGGGGAGATTAGAAGGACATATTGCGTTTTAGAAGTGGCTCAGTTGGCACTAAAAAGCCAAAAACAAATCCAGGATATATCCAATCCTGACTGCTACATCACCACTAAACTGAAGCACTGACATGAGGCAGAATAAATATACACGTTCATGCTATTTGGGAAAAAGACTGGCCCTTATTTGTGATGGATTTCAAGCAGGATTTTTACATACTGTTTTATTATATTTTTTTATGTGGTCATGTTATTACAAACCTGTTGTCTGTTCATCAGCTGAGGAACCAGAAGGAGTAAGTTTACCCTGTGGAAGACTGACCATGTGTTTCCCGCCAGTAAAGCGGTCCTAAAAATGAATCACTGTCAGTGCTGCCCAGATCATACCGTCCTCATGGGTCACATTTTAAAGCTGGTCTTGGTTCAGAGTGTTTCCTGTCGTTACTGTGTGAGTGTCTAGTTACTACTTCTGGCATGTTAGTCTAGCACAAGAAGCACGTCGTCCCTTTCACCCTCCGTGTGTAGATTTTTACAGTCACTCACATTAGGAGTCACCTTCCAGAAAGTGACGAATGAACTTTAATTAATCTAAAAAAAGAAAGGCTATTAAAGCACTTTCAAAGTGTGCCTACTGTTGTTCCTGCAGCCTGATGGTGCCTTTCTTTCTAAGCCCATTCCTACAAGTTGTGACAAAAGATTAACATTATTCTCCTGCTACCATCTGCGTTTGTTCTTGAATACTTATTTAATCACCACAATTAAATCCTTGCAAACTGTGAATGGCCCACACCACTGACCTTAAAATCAGTATCAAGATAGCTGTGCTCCATGCATGCATGAACAGTTGGGTGTGCTGGGAAGTAAAGAGTTTAATTACATACAAACTCATAGTCCCTCCCTTCAGACAAGGAAAGTGGGTGTAAATTTAAACCCCCGCCAGCTGCTACTGAACCCACGGGGTTCTATATCTGGACTATAAACAAATACTGAGATTATAAGTTTGCACCTTATGCAACAAATGACAACAGTAGAAACAGTAGAAAAATGTTCATATTTCAGTCAGTGTAATTTTCTGTGCAGTTTAAAAGTTTTTAACAAAAAGGGTTACGAAAATGAAAATTTGGAAGTATAGATATCAGATTTATATCACTATTTTGCTCATTCGTACTTTGATGCCAATTATAACTGCATTTCTAAGAACAACTGAAACTATATATAAAGCGATTTTCCACTTCATTCCAGGTTAGAAGCCTAGTCAAGTATCAAGTGTTTGTCTCTGTAGTGTCCATGTGTTTATATGTGTATGCCTAGAGGGTGGTAACACGTAGTAGGGGGCTGAGCGAGAAAGAGGCATCAAGCTGTTGTTACATAAAATCAAAACCTAAATAGATTTCACATTCATGCTGTATTTTGCTTCAGGGTAAAATATTTTATTACACCCAGATTTAAAAACCAACAACAAAAGTAGTTAGCTGAGATAATGCAACAGAAAACACCAAAGAGAAGAATTATTTTACATATTAGAAAGTACACATATTTTATGATGTATCTTAAAACCTTCTTACCTTTCCTATGTTTTATTGAGTGACTCTGCTCTGATTCCTCTCCATTTAAAAGCTTTGCTCCAGGCTTGGGTTCAAAAACAAGGCTTTAGATGTCATCAAAGCAAGGTCCCCACTGTTCAGCTCCCATCATGAATCTGAATGAGCAACAGTGTCAACCTGTGTTGTCCAACAGATCTCCTTTTATAGATGGCTTATGTCCACAAATAGCATACAGACACTAGTCTGCATACTGGGAAGAAAAAAAACAATGTGTTACATTCCAGGAATCCCAAGTTACAATAGTTCCACCCTAGAACCTTATTTTACTTTTCTATTAATGGGATGATTTTTTATTTTTTATCAGCAGAACTCCTTGACATCCCATCAAAAACACACACATTGTAGAGATTTCTAAAAAGAAATTTCCTGTTTTAAAGTGAATTTCAGAAATTTGATGGAAACTTTTATAAGTTAAATGTATCAAATAATAAATTACAGAAGACAGACTTATACAATTAGGACTTACAGAACTTGCTTTGCTTTGAATATAGTAAAGAACAATATTTCTGCTTAAATACAAAGCCTAATTTATATAGAAAGTATCAGCTGTTTTATTATGCATCTAAATGATCCAGATCCAGGGTATTCAACAGTCTGCTGTGACCGATAAGGTATTTTCCTATAATAAGCTATTAGGCAGCTTGAGTCTAATTCTGTTTCTTGCTTTTTTGTTGCCTGTATCTCTGTCTATATGTCCCCTTATCAGGGAGAGAAAGCAGACCACTGTTCTTATCCTTCTCATACACTACATTCTTTATTTCTGTCACGGTAGTACTTGTCAAGTTTTCTTCCTTCCTGCTCCTTTCCCCTGCCTTTCTACCAGGAGCTACCATAACATAAAGTATGGTCCAATAGCGCCACCTCTTTTCATATATGTTATTTATTGCGCAATGTCAAAACCTGGTAGGAGACTCTAGATCATGTGAGCAGATCGGAGCATGAAACAAGCAGTGGAGCGGAGCAGAAGAAATATGGTGGAGCGCAGAGAGGTTTTAAATTTAAAAGCAAGGATTTCGCTCCACCCCAGTTCGCTCAAACTTTATTTAAATTGAAACCTAGGCCAATGCCTATGCTGTACTCCGTGCCTATAATCTGCTATAGTCTATGTTTCAACTTTACCACAGAATCGCCGAGATGAGGATTGCATATTGGCTGATAAAAAGTGGGAAAAAATATAAAAACATACACTAACTATACTTAACAATACAGAGTGGGTTTACATAAAGTGATCATTGTGGTAAGAGCCTGTTTTTGAAAATGGATAGCATACATGCATTTTACGCTATTATCTGATTTGCAATGGGATGCAAAGTGACGTTTTTTAATGCAGTATAGTAAAATAAATTAATAATTAAATAGGAAACGCGGGGCTACATGAATGTAGAGAGGTTTTACGTTCACAGCTGGGAAAAAGTGCGGTAATCTAACAGCAAGTTAAATAAGACAATATACATGTATCAGTCACATCACTTAATTAAACGCCATTTGTCCCAGGGCCCTGGCATAATAACATGAAGGAAAAATGTCAGAAAATGCCTTCTTCTGAAAATTTCAGGAGGGGGGCAGGAAAATTAAAGCGCAGAGCAGATTTTGAGCGGAGTGTCCTGGCGCAAGTTTGAGCTGCGAAGTGAATGAGCGAATATCCTCCTGAACAGGGAGTGGAAATTGCGCAGTGCTCAGCTCCATTCACATGCTCTGGGAGACTGAAATGCAAAGTATAAAGTAGAAACCAAACTCAGGGAACGTTTAATGATATGGTAGTAGTAGAAATGGGATAAAAAGTATTCTACAGGCCAATTTGTACTTCTGACACATAGCCTCTGCAACCGTCAAATCTGTCTCTGTCGTCGTGCACCTTTAAAAAAAACCCTGACTATACGTCGGACAGTCGCGAACCCGCGCAGACCTCAAGCGGAAGTGTGCAGACAAAAAGCAGCTGTGATTGGTCCTTGGTATGCCAACAATGGATTACCACAATGAAAGGTTAATCGAGGAGGTTCAGAAATACAACCACTTGTACAATGCCATTGTTTTGGAAAGTAAACACTGCCGCCGGGGCCGTCAAAGAAGTTATCGTGACCAGTTCTCGAATAGGCTCCCCCTAGTGCTTTGGCAGGAAACTGCTGTGCATCCCTAGAAATTCCAGACCAACGTTGCAGATGCATACCAGCAAAACTGGTTCGCGACCAAACACAAGCAACATTTGATGTGTGCGGTTGCAGAAGTATAACCTGCCCTTAATCGCTCAACCAGTCCTGCAGTCACAGAAAGTCAAGAACATTCAAATAAAACTTAAATAAATTAGCCTTTGAAAGAAAGGACTTTGTTTGCAACTTAAAGACAATCACATAAATAAAGATAAGATAATGAGATGTCTATCTCGCAGTCTGTGCGAGATAGACACTCGCACAGACTGCCACTCATTTGTGACGGTGTAATGACAATAAAAGATAAAAAAAAAATGCAAAAACAATATAACCAGGGTATGTACCTTTTTTTTTAAGCCACTGCATGTTGATAAAATAATCTAATGTCAAGAGTTTAGAGTTGCAACAACCTGACCACACAGATAAAACTGCAGACAATACCAACAAGTGCTGGAGGGGAACTATTCAAACTCGTTACTGTATGGAAATAGAAAAGAAATTCACTCAAAACATTCTGTGAAATGTTTACCGCAGTCATATATGTGCAAATATGTCTATGCCTCCAGACTCAGATGCACTCAGTTCAAGTTCCTATTTTACAGCAATTTCATCCCACTTATTTTAACCCATGTGTGCACAGTATCATTTGACATCAGGTGAGAGTTAAAGTCTCAGTATAGTTAAGTCCACCTCATTACTCTGCAGGGGTTTCTAAAACCATACTCATGAAAGGTGGTTAGATTCTGCTCTATTCTGGAGCTTTCTCCAAAGTTAATGAGCACTAGTGGCCTTAGAGCAGCACTGAATTTGGCTTCCAAACGTAATAGATCACTGATATATAAAAAGCCATCTGACACTTTCCTCAGGTCAGGGAGCTGGCACAGACTTTTGTCTGTGTTTATGTGCCTACTTTCAGTCTGAAGTAAACACCCTCTTTGAAGTGTCATGGTAAGATGAAGAAAGGTTACCTGCTCTATAGCTCTATTAATGGTAATCAAAGGCTAACATCCTGTCTAATAAAGCCTAAATATAATCTCTCATCTATCAAACACAATTCCAAATCTTGTCTTTTTAACAACTACAACTGGATGTTGGTTACTCAGTTTGCAATTAAGGCAGTGCATATTATGTGGTCTTATGACACTTGAAAAGAGGAGCTAAGCTGTTAGCTAATTGCCACCTTCATCTGAAGTGGATGAGCTGGCAGAGGGAGATGAAGTAAGTACAAACCAGTGGTGACGATATGCTGGCAATGTCTCTAATAGTTGATCAGTCTCATATGGGCTGCTCTCAGAGCTTTGATCTCTGGGCTGTCTGGAATGGAGTGGACCCAAAAATAGACCCAGCCAACCGACTCTTTCTCCATGTTGTTTCTAGTGTTTTATTCAGACAGATGGAGCTTTTGATCAAATTGGTATACAAGCAAGTGTTAAAGATTTGTGGTTAAACTCCAAAGATTCTTCCTTAAATAATTCTATATCTTGGTACAGTTTTTACCTGGAGCTTTTTAGTATCTTGAAATATACAGTATGTGCCATTATTTCTCGCTAAACTAAAATTCCATTTCAACCAACTATTTCAATCAAATCATTTCACAATTTAATTTTAAATTTTCTCTTTTGTTTTAGAGAATTACTTTTTCTGGACATCTAAGAGCTATTTGAACTGAATAGAAGTTTACTAATAAAAAAAATACAAGACAAAATAAGATTGAAAATAATGAGCTAAATAGAATTTAATAAAAAGAATATTTGTTGTGGATAAGATACACAATTAAAAGTACTTTGTTTGGTCTATTCAGTCTAAACAAATATATAATTTAGTAATCTACAATTTTGCATGCTTTGTTAGATTTATTTGAAATTACATTTTTATTTGTGTATAAACTTAAAACCACTTCTTTCAGCTTTGTCTGTCTTGTCTAAAATAATGATCAATTTATTCATGTCAGGGCTGCAAATAAAAAAAATGCAGTAATTCTGGTGATTGCTACATTAGCAAAGTTGACTTATTAATAAGCAAATAACTGAAAAGTACTCATGTTTTTCTGCTTTTGGTTAATGGAAAACATTGAGCCTTGATAACAGTTAATTAAGCTACACATAAAAAAGTTAATTAATAATTTTCCCAACAAGGCTTTTTTGAAAAAATCTTTGAGCTTGTAGTGCAGAAGACGACAATATCATTGACAGGGGTTGCCATGGGGAGGCTGACACTGTCGGGGACGGTATCCCTCCTAGGAGTGTGGTACTTGGGCGTTTATCAGGGTTGCAACAAAAGGTCATGGCTGATGGGTCCTCCCTTACTAGATGTTTTGGTCGGTGTGTATGTGAGTTGGACGGATTAGACAACAGGGAGCAAGGTCCAGGGATTGTTGGGGTGGATGTGGGCATTCCACATGAGCTGAACCCGGTCATGCTCCCTTTTTCTATGAATAGTTCGAGTTGCCTGCCACTATTGGTCCTTGGTGAATAGGGATCTCGTCCTGGTTGTGGGGGTCGGTTCTTTTTCATGGCGGAAAGGTGCCTGGGAGGAAAGTATGATGAGAATGTGTTCAGTGTCTTGTGTGGTAGTCCTGTTTCTCTGGCTGTGACGGGCTGGATGTGCCTTCTTCGTCCTCTGCCATGGGAGTTAGCTCGGAGCTCGTCTGCCTGGCTGTGTGTTTCCTGGATGGGGCCACCTTTTACAGTTGCTTTTTGTATCTCTGCTTCTGTCTCCTTGAACCCCAGCTGGCCTCGGCAGATGGCTGCTCACACTGAGCCTGGTTCTGCAAGAGGTTTCTTCCTGTGAAAAGGGAGTTTTTCCTCTCCACTGTCGCTAGAAGCATGCTTAGTGTGAGTGATTGCATTTGAGTCAATGAGTCGATGAAATCAACAGGTTTTCCTTAGTTAGAAAACCTTAAATCAATCTGACTGTATGATCTGGTTAACTGTAAAGTGCCTTGA